TATTTGGCAAGAACATAGATTATGCTATGCATCATTATACAGAACAAATGTTGTTGCAAATATATGGCATGTATATGAAAATATAAAATATATATTGTTTGTGTATGTATATCTGTGACCAAGAATTGGTGGTAGATTTATGATGATCAGAGTCTAAGTATCCTTGACATGTGGCCTATATGAGTATGCTTTACAAGTAGGCACAAATTAAGGCAGATTTGCTTTTTGATACCTATTTTGTACCACCGGTTGTGCCTGTTATCATGTGCCTATAAATGTACACTCATTTTCTACTGATGTTGTGAAAGTTATTGATGGTTTGGTAGAAGATTTACACTTTTCAATGCTGTTTATCCAAGAGAAAGTCTGTTAAATGTACAAGAATAAGCATTTTAAACATTTTTTTGGTGATTGTTTAAACCTTATTTAATAGATCAATTTGCTGAAAAATTTACCATCTGATCTTGTTTCCATTCCTGACAAGATGCCTAACAATGCTCACTTTCTTGTAAGCTTCATTGTAATGTGGTTATATATTAGAAGATGTTATTATTGTATGTGGCTAGAACTCACGCATATGAGAAAATGACACCAGTGAAATGGACATTATGGTGGTCCAACATTTCTTGCAGATTTTGTTTTTTATTTTTATTATGCTATTGCTTTCTGAACAACGTATGAACTTTGCTCTTGCAGCTGGTAACCTGTATCATTTGATAGTTGAGGCATGCATTGCCAGAAATCTGCTGGACACTTCTGCTTATTTCTGGCCCGGCTACGTGAATGGACGCATGAACCAGTTACCGCACAGTATGCCAACTCAAGTGCCTGGTTGGTCATCATTTATGAAGGGAGCCCCATTGACTCAAGCAATGATTAATGCTTTGGTTTCTGCTCCTGCTTCAAGGTATGCCTAGGTTAGCTTTACGTTGATACTTTAGTTACCTAAAAATGTTTAAAGTTCAATGATTAATTAAGGAAAAACCAAGTTCATGCTGTAACTAATCTGAGTGTCGAATCTGTGTAACAATTGAAGCTTGCAATACTGAAGCAACAATTGGCTGTGCATATTATGGAAACGGACGATGGTAGAGTTATCTATAGTTGTCCTCTTATCCTAGGCAAATGACTCCTAAGTTGAGAATGACAGATAGTTGTCATAATTTGTAGTTTTCCTTGATTGTAGCCTGGTCTTCAGTTGCTTTTTTTCTTTCCTGAAGCCAGGTATATCAGATGCTCTTTTTTATTGATTTAGCCAAGAGTAAAGCAACTTAATTTAAGCTCGTGGATTTAATGGAAGTTTAGCAGAGATGGAGAAGATTTTCGAGATGGCGGTCAAAGGAGCAGACGATGAGAAGATAGCTGCTGCCACCATTCTTTGTGGAGCCTCACTAATTCATGGTTGGAATATCCAGGTAACAAGAAAATAATTTATTTCAGCACATCTGTAGCTCTATAAGAGAAAGAAAATTTTTAGTTTATGTTGTGGATGCATGTGCCAAATGGTTCATGTGTCAAGCCTAAGTGATCACATTATGGTCCTGTTACCCATTAAGTATTATTAAATCATTCATGCAGACAGATAATGTGATCCTTCCTTTTGGTTACGATCATGCAGGAACATACTGTTAATTTCATAACCAGGTTATTGTCTCCTCCAGTTCCTACTGACTACTCTGGTAAAGATAGCCATTTGATAGGCTATGCCCCAACGTTAAATGTCTTACTCGTTGGAATAGCACCAGTGGACTGTGTTCAGATTTTCTCCCTTCACGGCATGGTATATTTGTTAAGCTTCATATTTTTTCTTATATAAGATGAAAATACAGTTTCTATGTGTTGATGGTCCTTGCATGTTGGTTACACTACTAAGGAATTTATTGGTTCTACTAATATCCAGACCTAACTTATTGTTTAGAATTTATTATTCATTTAAGGGCTGCTAGAGATGCAAAAGAACTAAGTTATCTTAAACAAAGGGCCTGCGTCTCAGTTGTGGGCGCCTTTTTTGAACTTTATTATTTTCAGCTGGGAAACAAAGTCCATAGTCTCAGCTCGTTGTGTGTAGAAGTTGAGTTTTTTCTCCATGATAGATCACTTGCTTGATTGGTTACTTTTTCCTTTCTTATCCAAGATAAGATTGAGTATCATGCTGACATTGTACAGTATGACATGTATAAGAGGCCTTAAAACTTGTGGACTACACCCGTGACTATGTTCGTTTTGAAACTTGAAACATAATAAGCATGACACTTCCATTAGGTTCCGCTAAATGCTGTTAAAATTTGCTAACTTTGAGAAAAATTTAACGAGGAGGAAGTGGAAAACATAAAAGTTTTCAGAAGAGAACATTTTAGCTTTCTCTTCTCAACAGATTCTTGAAGCCAAAAAACGAATAACCAAATCTGAATCTTACTTAACAAAGACATGAAAGAACTTAAAGATTTATTCAATTTTTCTTTTGACAGTCAAGTTGTATTCAGGTAACTGTGGAAAGTAAGAGTTGTAGCAGCATCCTACTCTATCCTTAAAACGTTTAAGATGCCCTTAAATACCTCCCGGTCAGATGGGAGAACTCATTTTCTCTACATTTTTACTTAAATGAGAGAGTGAGGCATGAATAATTTCAGAGTTCTGCATGCCTACATAAACTTCAAGGTACTGATTTCTATTTTTGCAGGTCCCGCAACTTGCTGCTTCATTAATGACAATTTGTGAGGTATTTGGTTCATGTGCTCCTAATATCTCATGGACGCTGACAACAGGAGAGGACATCTCAGTGCATGCTGTGTTCTCAAATGCCTTTGCTCTACTACTAAAGTTATGGAGGTTCAACCATCCACCTATTGAATATAGAGTCGGAGATGTGCCCCCTGTGGGATGCCAACTAACTCCTGAATACCTCCTACTAATGAGGAATTCCCATCTTGTGTCTTCCGGAGACATGCTAAAGGATCCAAATAGAAGGAGGCTTGCAGCTGTTGCAAGTTCATCTTCTCCTAATCCTATATTTGTGGACTCATTTCCAAAATTGAGAGTTTGGTATAGGCAACATTTGGCATGTATAGCTTCAACTTTGTCAGGTCTTGTAAATGGGACTCTTGTCTGTCAAACTGTTGATCTTTTACTCAATATGATGTTCAAAAAGATTAACGGGGGAAGTCAGAGTTTGATCTCCATAACATCTGGAAGTAGCAGTTCTTCTGGAACTGGAAGTGAGGATACTTCTCCAAGGCCTAAGTTACCTGCTTGGGACATCCTCGAAGCCGTTCCTTTCGTGGTTGATGCTGCTCTCACAGCATGTGCTCATGGAAGACTTTCTCCCCGAGAACTGTGCACAGGTTTGTCAATGAATGTGACAAATGACTCTTTTCCTTTCAACCTAAGTATCCACAACTTCAAGATCATCCACTTGCAAATCTCTGAGTAAACTAATTAGCAATTAAAACTAGTTCGCACTTTGCAGGTTGCAGCATACATTCTTTGGAATTTGATTTTAGTTGCTTCCTTATAAATAAGTATATCTTTGATGTGTTAAAGCATAATTTTAAGGGGGAGGAGGTTTAGGAATTTCAAGCACTTTGACAATGCCTTTAGTTCTCATCGAGGGTTTAAAATTATGGTTCTATGTTATCAAATAGTTCCATTTCTCAATTTCAGGACTTAAAGATTTGGCTGATTTTCTTCCTGCATCGCTAGCAACCATTGTAAGCTACTTCTCAGCTGAGGTCACTCGTGGTGTTTGGAAACCAGTTTTTATGAATGGCACTGATTGGCCAAGTCCTGCTGCTAATCTCTCCAATGTTGAGGAACAGATCAAGAAAATTCTAGCAGCCACTGGTGTAGATGTCCCAAGCCTTGCTGCAGGTTTTTCCCCATTACTGAGAGTGATTAAGAATGTCATTATCTATATTGTGTCAAGCCACATATGTTGCTTCACTTCTTCTGAACCACATGTAGACTTGAGTCTGAAGCTAGCTTCCTCCATTCCAAGACGAATGACACAATTACTATTTTGGGAAGTCGTACTATTTTCTTTTTCTTCAATTTTTCTAACCTTTTTATAGTTGTTGTAACTATAAAAAAATGTTATTTCTAGTTAAATAGTTTTTAATATGTATATGTTATTTCAAAAAGATTAAGACATCGATGTCTGAATTTGCGCTGAAAATCCCCTAGCACTCCATATGCTGACATTCTTTTTGGAAGTAAGGGAGTATCTAAAATAAGAGCGGCAAAAGATTCATGAAAAACATTTTTAAAATAACAGACCTTTATGTGTCATTTCCTTCTTGGGAAACCTATGGTTATTTATATTTGATTGTGTAAGAACTGAAATCATCTGTGGTTTCTAGGCATGATGAGAATCTTTTCTTCAACTTTTTGTACTTGATCATTGATTCCAATTTTTTTCTTCCCCAGGCGGCAGCTCGCCGGCAATCCTTCCACTTCCATTGGCTGCATTTGTCAGCCTTACTATAACGTATAAACTCGATAAAGCGTCCCAGCGTTTTCTCAATCTGGCAGGCCCCGCTCTGGAGTCACTTGCAGCTGGCTGCCCTTGGCCATGCATGCCAATTGTGGCTTCTTTGTGGACCCAGAAGGCAAAACGGTGGAGTGACTTCCTTGTGTTTTCTGCATCTCGAACTGTCTTTCTCAACAACAACCATGCAGTCATTCAGCTTCTCAAAAGTTGCTTCATGACCACCCTTGGTTTGAACTCTTCCTCCATATCAAGCAATGGTGGTATTGGTGCACTTCTTGGACACGGATTTGGATCACATTTCTATGGTGGTATTTCTCCGGTTGCCCCAGGTATTCTGTATCTACGAGTTTACAGATCCATCAGAGACATCATGTTCTTGAGAGAAGAGATTGTTTCTCTTCTGATACAATCTATAAGTGATATAGCACACAGTGAGCTTCCAAGACAAAGGTTGGGCAAACTGAAGAAATCCAAAAATGGAAAGAAATTTGGAAATGTTTCACTTGCTAAAACAATGACAAGGGTGAAATTAGCTGCCTTGCTTGGGGCTTCTTTATTATGGTTATCTGGTGGCTCAGGGCTGGTGCAGTCATTAATAAAAGAGACTCTTCCCTCTTGGTTCTTGTCTGTTCACAGCTCCAATCAAGGAGGTGAGGGTGGTCTAGTTCCGATGCTCAAGGGGTATGCACTGGCATACTTTGCAGTACTCTGTGGAGCTTTCGCGAGTGGCGTCGACTCGTTATCCATGGCATCAAAGCGACGTCCAAAAATCATTGGGCGTCACGTGGAATTCATAGCCAGTGTCTTGGATGGCAAAATATCACTTGGTTGTGATCCAGCTACTTGGCATGCCTACGTGTCGGGATTTGTGAGCCTGATGGTTGGTTGTACACCAACTTGGGTGTTTGAAGTAGATGCTGAGTTGTTAAAGAGGCTCAGTAAAGGCTTGAGACAATGGCATGAGGAGGACCTTGCTCTTGCTTTGCTTAGCATTGGTGGTGTTGGTACAATGGGATCAGCTGCAGAATTGATCATGGAGGTTTCATCATAGTATTTCTTCTTACCATAAGAAATTTTGTAGGTAGATTGTTATTGGTAGTTTAAACTTAGTGTTCAACCAAGGAACCTTGTGTACAGTTTAAAGGTGTAACCCTACTTTATGTGCTTTTTAGGCTGTTTGTTGATGGGAGGGAAATCATGTACATTTGGTGTGAAAATATATCTTTTAGGTTCGAATTACTAAAGATTATCTCTATGTGATAAACAAGATTGAACCAACTTTTGTCTTTTGAGGTGATATTGAAGGCACAGGATCCTCTATTACACTGCTACTCTTTAGTTGCAGGTTATGCCTATGGTTTCCAAACCTTTTACGTTTAGTAACACAAGGTAGCTGGACATTATAAAAGAAACTGAAGAAAACACAGCAGTTTGATTTAAATATTTTCTTGGCAACTGCAATGTACAATGTATTGGTCAAGATATCAACCAACTAATCAATCAATTATTCCTCTCTCTTTTTCTTTGATAAGGAAACTATGCCTCAATCAATCAGTTAGGGATGACATTGGCCAAGATAGACTAGATGCTGATATTAACTCTGTATTCGGATACTCAAAAAAATAGGTGAACTCTTCTCTTGGCAGACCAGTGCCAAAAAGAGTTTTTGCTGCAGCAACAGCTAACAAAATTGATTTATCGTACAACGCCACTATATGCAGTTGACCTTGTCAATCCTCGACTTCGCATAGCTTGCCTTACTAGAAATGCATCATCCCATTTGCCGGCATCTGCATAAATGTTAGACAGAAGGACCCTACTAGGACCATGAGATGGCTCCACTCTTGCAAGGTTCTCTGCAGCCCTTTCTCCTATTTCTGTGTTACCATGAGTTCTACAAGCCGCCAACAATGTGCCCCATATGATGGTATCTGCCTCCATAGGCATGCTCCTTATTAGCTCTTCAGCTTCTTTCAACCTTCCTGCTCTGCCAAAAAGATCCACCATACAACCATAGTGCTTAACATTTGGTTTTACATTATACAACTTAGTCATGCTCTGGAAATGCTGTTCACCGGCCTCCACCAATCCGGCGTGGCAACATGCACTTAAGACTCCAATGAAGGTGATTGAATTGGGTTTAATGGTTCGCCTCCGCAAATCTGAGAAAATATCAAGAGATAAATGCACGTGCCCGTGCATTGCCAGGCCACAAATAATGGCATTCCATGGTGAGACATCAACTGCTTTCTCTCGAACTTGATTGAATACCGCCAAGGCATCATTGACATTAGCACATTTGGCATACATGTCAATCAGTGCTGCACTCAAGTTGTCATTCAAAGGGATGGAGTTTTTGCAAATATAATCATGAGCCCATCTACCTTCTTTAAATGATCCCAAAGTAGCAATAGAAGAGAGGACACTGACCATAGTTATTTCATTTGGTTTTACGCCATTAGCTAACATCTCATGAAAAAGCTCAAGAGCCAAATCAGGTTGCTCACTTTGTGAATAACCAGAAATCATGGAGCTCCACGAGAAAACATCTCTTGCAGGCATTTGATCGAATAAATGTCTCGCCTCATCAATTTTTCTATTTCTAATAAGTCCTGCAATTAGGGCATTCCAACATGCAACATGGTTCTTGTTTCCTACTTCAAACTGCAAACGAGCAAGATCAACTTCCCCGCAAGCTGCATAAAAGTGAACTATTGTTGCCTGTATAAAGTCCAAGATATCAAAACCCTTCTTCACTGCTACACCATGAAACTGCCTACCCTCATAAATAGACATCACTTGTCCACATGTTGACAGAAAGTCTACAATCATAACATCATTAGGACGCAGCCCAGTATATAGCATTTCAGAATACATTCTTACAGCCTCACTCAACCTCCCCACTTGCAAATAACCATCAATGATTGTACCCCAGGAAACCACATCTTTATCAGCAATCTGTTCAAAAACCTCTCTACTTAAATCAACTAACCCAGCCTTAGTATACCCATTCAGCATCACATTCCAGGAAACCACATTTTTTTGAGGCATCTCATTAAACAACATACTAGCATCCTTTAAACACCCACTAAGACAATACAAATGAAGCAAATTGGTGGATACGTGAACGAAATCCATAACCCCAACTTTCAACACCAACCCATGAAGCATCTTACCCGCCTCAACCCCTCCATAATGCAAATAAGCTGAGATGACATTCACCATAGTCACCTCATTTGGACCAACACCAAAGTACCTCATATCCCGAAAACCCCAAATAGCCTCACTCCAATACCCCTTCTGTACCAAACCCATTATCATAGTCGTATAAGACACACAATTTCTCTCGGGCATTTTATCAAACACCACACGAGCTTCGACCAAAAGCCCAAATTTCACATACCCACACAACATTATGTTACAAGACACTACATCTAACCTAGTACAAGTGTCAAAGATTGTCTTAGCATCAGCTACTAATCCGCATTTTACATAAAAAGTGATTAAGCTATTTAGGATGTAAATGTTGGATTCAAGGCCAGATTTTAAGACAAGGGAATGAAGTTGTTGGCCTTGTGTGATACATGAATCAGTTGAACAAGACTTGAAGGCTGAAACAAGTGAGAATTCGTAATTAGGTTTTTGTTTCTTGGTGATTTGGAGGTGGGGTTGGTGATTCAATGGGGTTTGTGAAGATGGTGTTTTTTGAGCTGACGAAGAGACCCATTTTGGAGAGGGAAAGGAGAGTGAAAATATTGGAACGAGAAGGTGAAAGGATGGCTTGTGTCTGAATCCAATGATCATCACATGATACCATGGAATACTTTCTTGGTTCCACTCAAACAAAATTTGGTGCCTTAAGGAAGGAAGGTCTCGTGGATCATTTGAAGAATTAAATACTCCATTTCAAGTTAGATAAGCTAGGTAATTTGAGAGAATATAGTTTGTCCTTACCTTGCTTCCACTTATATATTAAGCTCAGATTAGTGACAAGAGTTTGAACTTGTAAGAAAAATATTAAGCTTAAATTAGTGAGAGACTTTGAACTTGAAACTCAAATATTAATAACGTCGTGACGTACCCTCAATCCACACTTAATACTATATATTTTGGTTATTAAGCAACAAACAATTGTTTACAACCTTTAAGCAGATAAAGAATTGACATTTTGTCAGGTTAACTATAGAAAACCAAACAAGTCATTCAACACCTTTGACCTTATTCACGTAATCACAAACAACATAACTTTGGAGAATTATTTGTTCTATCAAAAAATTTAGATGCTCAAAGGATCCATTTTGTTTGTGCAAATTGCAAAACAGAGTCAACTAGTGGAGTTCATCCATATATATAGGAAATTCAAGAAAATTAACTTGTATAGTTGAATCATCAATAGATTGAACTTAACAAAAATTCGCACTTCATTTTACAATTTGTAGGTGTAAGAATTTAATTTTCATTCAATATTTTTTTTCCTTTCATCCTACTTGAGCCATTGCCTGCAACACACATTAGATTTCAAAATTTGCTCTTATATTTCATCTTTACAATTTTCTGCCCTTACAACTCCTGTACATAGATGACTATGGGTATAGTGAAATTCTTATATAAGCCGTGCCAATATTGTCATGAACTAACCTTTGATATTGATTGTGAAAAGTTCCAAATAGCATAGGCGGAGGTCGAATCCCGAATTCTAGCACAAACCCATTTGACTAGGTACTATTTGTACTTATTTAGTTGGAGTAAATTTTTAAACTAGGTTCGGATGAACCCACAAGTCCATAACTACATCCGCTCATGCCTAATAGGCACACGATAGTTTAGACTTAAGAGTAGCAGCAGCTCTAAGTTGGATCCTCAAGACAAGCTTATATATAGCGTTTGTTCATAGAACCGGCTTTATTCAAGTGGAAAACTTGTTTAAACAGTTCAATCTCTTAGCTGACTGAAAGATAATACTATAGAACGTTGTGAGAGGAAAAATATTAGAGAGAAAACACCGTTCCAACACCTTCAGAAACCTGGCAGGTAATGAGGGAGGAAAGATATGTTATCCCTTATTTGATAATCTAATATTCATGTTCTATGGTATACGCTTCTTGAGGAAAGAAAAAGTTCTGGCTATAGTTTGTACACATTGAGCATTGTTCTAAAGTAAGTATCAATGGGATTTTTTCCAAAATGGCTCTGAACAACAATATCAATCTCCCATGCTTCTCAAATTCAGAAGGCAACGAATTAGATCCCGATGTGCGATGATCAACATTCAGCGATTATCTGCTTTACCATTAAGTGCCAGAGTCCTGCAGTAGATCAACAAATTTATCGGTCAGTCATAGTGGAAAGGGCATAAACAGTAATGAAAATCTGGAAGGTGACCAAAAGAAAATACGTTACAACACTTGATGGACCAAGTCCCAGTCCCCACTTATTGTTGTTGTACTTGATGGACCAAGTAGGTAAAAATTTCTAATAGATTGAGAATGTAGAAACCATGCAAGGATGTGAATTCAGAAGAAAACAGTTCAGCATCAGGATTCTAAACAAGAAACTAGCTAGGCATACCTTTGGTCGAAGTATGATCGAATTTAACCTATATATTAGGAGGATTAAATTGACAGATTGTTGCTACTAAACAGCCAAATAATACAACTTGCTCCCGAGTTCCAAATAGCATGCAATGTATGTATTTTACCAATAATTAAATACAAGTTTAATTGCTCTTTTAATGTAACGAGCGGAGTATTTGACAGTATGATCAATTTTTTTAAAAAAATAAAAATTCCAATCAGTCAATCATCATCATTTTCAATATAATTCCATCAAATACGGTCTTCAAATTTCAGATCCAGACCAAATTAACTCTTACAGGTCTTCTGAATCTATTTAGAGCTTTTCTGGGACAAAGGACAGATCAATCGCAACAGAAAACAATCGAGCAAAAGCCAAATGCATTAAATTTCCAAGGAACTAAGCGACTAATGTATATCAAGTTATCTGCTAAAACAAACAGTTAAAACGAATTAATCGACTTATCAAAGCACTCAGACATATTACTTATCAGAATGGTAGTTACTAGTTAGCACATTTATACTGAGTCCAACAAACAACTTCAAAAAGAACGACTAGTTAGATGGCCATAGTCAAAAACTTTGTAAGACTTTCCGTCTCTCTATTATTTCTCATCAGATGTGTTGCATGGACTAATCCTTCCAACTGCCTCTTGATATTCGATCCCACTATAACGCACCGTGTAACCCATGACTTGATAAAATATGACATTGCTATGTAAAAACCAACATAGCTAAAATATATACCTAAAGCATCAGATCACCTGATGATAATATTAAAGGATGTTCTACCTGCACTATACTAAAGATTCATTATCAACTTCGTCTAATCACGTACCTCGACCTCGGATCTTCAGCGAAGAACTTAGCATATTAAATTTCTAAAAATACAGGTGCACTGTTATACAGCGATATCATGATACCATCAACTGAAAGGAAGAATGTGGGCCATCACCAAGTGTTTGGTGGCAAAATCCAGGAGCTCAGTTTCCATATTCACATAAAGTTCAAAAAAATCCATCACTACCTCAAAGACAGAAATCTTAAACTGACAGAGCAGCCTACTGCCAAATCCTCAACTGGTTCAGTTAGTCTTAAATTGATGAAGTTCACATCTGATAACCAACGTTATTAGAGCAGAAATGGAGTCATCTATGAATTAGATAAGCATAAATGAAGAGCACCAGCAGTGATCTGCTTTATCTTACATCATGATGCTCACAAGCACCGATAGAACAATGAATCAGATATTATTCATCCATGGCATTCGATCACACACCATAAAGGCTATGGGAATGTTGAGATAGTATGAATTGCCTACTGATTGGTGAAAATGACTTACTACTTGTACAAAGGAATGTACTCCTAGGAATCTTGGATTGTGACCTTTAAATAATGCAATCATAGCCTAATAGGTTAAGAAAAGATAATGCCAGATATATTTTAGAGATCCTACAAATCTGGCTTTAGTGGCATTATATTTGTAGAAAGCTTCATTATTGAAATGCAATTCCATTGAAAAAAAGAAAGAAAAAAGAAAAACAAAATCATCAAGGACTATAACAAACACGTTAAGCATACACTAGAATTCCCAATTAACTGAGAACTAAGAAACAAAAGAATGTAATACTCGTGGAAGTCCACTCCCGATACCAATCCACGTTCAGCCTGAAGACTGCAAAGTATCCCTTAGAACTTCTGCAATCTTGTCTACATCACTATAACTCTCCCATGTACTAACATCACCATTGGAAAACACACAATCTTTGAAGCCCTTAAAGTTTAACCTTCTCTCATGAATTAGCAGATCTATAAGCCATTTTGCTGCTGCATCAGACATGCATTCCACTTAGGGTTATATATACAGAAAGGCAATATCTTACAAGTTAATAATTGTAGTTGCAACAAACTTTACATTCACTTCTCATAAATTTGGACAATAGATTTGCACACAGAACATTTTACTTGCTATTCCTAAAATGTCAACCCCAGACTTTAAGAAAGTCAATAAAATAAAAAGATGTTTAAAAGGTCATAAGATGGGAGCAAAATGAACCATAGCACCTGTTGGTTCCCAATACTTCCTTTTTAGTTTGAACAAGATACTATTCCTTCACAAGAGCCGAGAGTCTCCCGGAAACAGCCTCTCTACCCTTTCGGGGTAGGGATAAGGTCTGCCTACGCTCTACTCTCCAAGACCCCACTAGTGAGATTTTACTGGGTATGTTGTTGTTGTTGTACTATTCCTTCACAAGAAAGAATATTTTTATTTTGATAAGTAAAAAAAAAAGAGCGGTCTCAAGGGTAAGAAGAGCGGGAAGAAATCCAACAAAGTTCCCACATACGTGGGTTGACATTAGGAACTTTCCTTGAGGCGATACTTACCTTTTTATGATCGAGAGTTTTTTTTTTTTTTTTTTTTT